CTTTTGGCATGCTAGAGGTTTGTTTACAAACTAAGAATCAACCATGTAGTAAGATCAAAGTCAAAATAAAGTATTTAACAATAAAATAAGGAAACTCCTCAAAATTAAATTATATTTTAAAGGTCACCCACCTGATTTTGAGGGTTGTGATGGCCACAAACTAAGTTATTCTCCATTCTTTTAATTTTTTTGTGGGTAAGTACCAGAGGCCATAGCATGAAAGGAAATACACATGCAATGCAAGTTTTACATGTCTGTTGTTGGTTGAAATTCCTTCTTAAAAATAGCTGCTTTTTGTGGAATAAATCATCTTTGACATTAGCTGTAGAAACTGGATTTAGAAATAATGTTTAGTGTAACATTTTTTCAATTCTTTTATATTAAGAAAGAAATTAATAATAGGATAGCAAAATAATAAATTAGAGCTAGGGACATGCTATATGCGTTTTTTCCACCATTCAAACAAATATACATGTACAAGGTTCTCCAGGCCATGAAAGCAATCAAATGATCAGGTTAGGTTCTGATTACAACACTGAATTTCACAGGTTGTGTATTGCCTTTAATTATTTTATGGAAAATGGCCCCAAAGAAATCATCCTTCATCTCCCAATGAAACATTATTCAGGCAATCAAGAGGACACTTCTAGGTAAAGATGATTTACCACCATCTTTGATAACCAATGTGCATAATTTTACAACAGCAAATGCTGTAGCCCTATCCATCAATGTTTTTCCTCATTTCCTTTATCCCCTTGAAATTAAACATTTAAGAATAAACAACCCATTTCTCCTTCCTTGATATGCTTTAGTGTTTATAAAGAAGGGGACTATACCTTCTGCTCAGCACAATTCTAAGTATTCTAAGTAATAAAAAAAAACCAACTCATATAGATGTTTCTTCCCTTTAAAGAATGTGCAAGTCAGGAAAACAACACCTATATAAACAAGATACCTGTTGAACAGCTTGGCCATCCTAAAACTCCGTGCCAAGTGTGAAGCTATATACAGTGTCATTGTAGAGAGGTGTTGGTAAGAGCAGAAAGGATGTGTAAGTATCTTGAGATCTGGGCTAGAGCGTGGTACCAAGGGCTACTGTATCAGCACTTTTTGGGAACCTGTTGGAAATGCTGATTCCTGTTAAATCAGAAACTCTGGAGTCCACAGTTTGCAGTCTAACAAATTCTCCAGGAGATTCTGATGCAGCTAGTGTAAGAATCACTGCTGTAGATGATAAAGAATAGGTGATATTTTGTTCATATAATTATGTATCATGATGTACATGAAGTAGGAATAAAAATCCTCAAATAATTTGGGGACTTTGTTATTGAAATCTTTGATGATGATTACTTTTTACAAAACCTCCTGCTAATTGGAAAAAGTAAGATTGGGTCATCAGACAAGTAAGAGGAGAAATTTTTACCAGCCAAAGTAGTTATGTAATCCCAGATTTGTTTTTTCTACTATGTGACAACTGCCCTCCTCCATTTATATACAGAAGAGCTAAACTGCAGATTTACTTAGCAAGTCACATATGACAGTACCTGGAACTATGGGAAGGTACGTGGCCTAAAGACTTACAGATATGCCGTGGTCCTCAGATCATCAGAATCAGCTGGACTTCTGTTAAAACCAAATGCTGGGCTCCACCATCTGGAGTTTCTGATTCATTAGGTCTGCAGGAGGGCTTGAAATTTTGCCCTTTGAAGTTCCCACATGAACTGAAGCTGAGCTGGCTGATGTGGGGGCCATACATGAGAACCAATGGCTTAGGTGAATCCTTCTGACTACTAATATGAATGTTAAGTTTAGGTATAGTCATTGCAGTATTTCCCTGTTGTATTAGGTCCTGACACATACCTTTAATTTTTCAGACTTTTTGACCTAGAGATTTTAAACTTAGTGGATCCTACATATATCTTTGTTTCTCTTTGGTATTTTCATAAGCTTTTCTGTAGAACCCCAATGGCTAGCAGCACCCCACCTCCCAATTTGGTTAATTTACAGGAAAACATTATTCTTTGCTCGCTCTGTTGTCAGCTGTCAGCTTGTCAGCTAGTGTTTGTAAATACAATTGGAACAGATGAACTATTTGGCTTGAGTTGGTATTTCACTGTGCTTATGAAATGCAAGAATTCACGAAAGTGGGAGAATCCATGTTCCATAATGTGATGTGGTTGAATTTTTTTTTTTTTCTAAGTGCTGATTATGTTAGCCAGGTTTTATTTGTTCTTCCTTCTGTGATTCATTTTCTATGGTTTTGGGAAATTCATTAAAATATGAAACTATGGAAAACAATGTTGGCATATGCATCAGTACATTTATTCCGAGACTCTTTCACTCTTAGACCTATTTCCACTCAGGCATTTGAAGTATTTACAAGAAAAAGGCTTTTGCTTTCCTTTCTTGCTCTCATGTAGAATGAAGTGTTTTCTCTGGTATGAAACAAAGTGTGGCATAATTGCAGAGAACTTTGCTTGTTATGATGCAATACTTTGCTGAACAGAAGACAAAATCATGGCTCCTAATGACCGTTAGGTTTCAAAAAGCCTAAATGTTGGAGGGTGTGCCTGTGTTTGTATTTTAAGAGGCTTATTCCCCCTCTCCCCACCCTTTATTATACTGCCCCTGATAGTTTAATAGCTGTACTGATCTGTAAATATTATACATTTTAGGAACAAATTCAGCTAATATTTATTGTTAAGTATGTGTAGATACTTTTACGTACACTGGCAATTTGGGAAAAGTTTTGAGGATGCAAAAGGGTGGGTATCAAATAAGATGCTTAAAAAATTTGAGCATAGTATTTTAAAGGCATATAACTAAGAACTATGTTAGTTTTTACAGCCATCTAAAAATAAATATTTTAGGTGTTAATTTTAAAGAGGTGGATACTAAGGTAAAGTCTCAAATAATTTCAAGTAATAACTTATAAGTAACTCCACTTTTAATGAAAGCTTTATTTTGGTTTTAAAATGCAACTGTTGGGTGGCAAGGTTAAATTAGAATGATCAATTCTGATAGATCCAGAAGAATGATCCAATCCATTGGCTCCATTCCAAGAGAATGATCAACTTTAAAGTAAAAAGTAAAATAAAAATAAATATGAAAGGATTGATATAAACCTTGATCACATTTCCTTTGGCAATGAAAGTAATGTCCTACTGTCATAAGAATGAGTGTACAGTATCAGTTATTTTATAAATTAACTCAATTATCTGCTGCCATAATAGATTTGATATTTATATAGTCACTTCATGAATTCCATAATAAGTTATTTGATGTCAGGAAGGGTTAAAATCAATAATCCAGAAGGAATTTTTAAATTTCATATGTATTTTATATAATCCATTTTTATTTTTTATTTTATTTCTCTTATTGAGTACTAGAAGGCTTTTAACTTCTAGATACTAATTTGCTAACCCTTTGTTATTACATGCAAGTTTATTCTAATCTGTAGTCTATCTTTAGACTTTTAAAATATCTTTTGATAAGCCATTATATTTTTAGTATAGTCAGATAATCAAAATTTATTATGGTTTTATTACATTTTACTTAAAAAATTCTTCTCTGCCCCCAAATTATAAATATAGTTTCTTATGTTTCCTTCAAAAGGATTTAAAATTTTGTTTCTCATACCTTGGTCTTATTTCCTCTGTGTATGCATGTGTGTGATTATTCAGTTTTAATTTTTTAAATTATATTTAATAGTCCAAGTACCATTTGCTGCGGTTACAGTTCCTTTCCAGATACTGAACTTATTGAAGGCAGTTTTGGGCTCCCTTTTCTGTTCCACTCATCTTTTATCTCTCCCTGGGTTGGTGGTATACACTCTTAACTCCCATAGCTGGATATGTGTTCAGGAACAAATTCATTTCACCCTCTTGGTCTTCTCCTAAATTGTCTTGGCTATTTGGTAATTTGTTTTTCTGCTTAAATCCTATAATCATTTTGCCACATTACAACAAAAATCTTCTTGGGATTTCTTTTGAAAATGCATTAAATTTTGATTAATTTGGAGACATCTGACATCTTTGTGCTATGAAGACTTTTTTTTTTTTTTAAAGATGTTATTTATTTATTTGAGACAGAATGAGATACAGAGAGCATGAGAGGGAGGAGGGTCAGAGGGAGAAGCAGACTCCCTGCTGAGCAGGGAGCCCAATGCAGAACTCGATCCCGGGACTCCAGGATCATGACCTGAGCCGAAGGCAGTCGCTTAACCAACTGAGCCACCCAGGCGCCCTGTGCTATGAAGACTTTATAGCTTCAAGACTGTGAATGAGGTTTTTTTTTATTATGTTATGTTAATCACTATACATTACATCATTAGTTTTTGATGTAGTGTTCCATGATTCATTGTTTGCATATAACACCCAGTGCTCCATTCAATACGTGCCCTCTTTAATACCCATCACCAGGCTAACCCATCCTCCCACCCCCCTCCCCTCTAGAACCCTCAGTTTGTTTTTCAGAGTCCATAGTCTCTCATGGTTCGTCTCCCCCTCCGATTTCACCCCCCCTTCATTCTTCCCCTCCTGCTATCTTCTTGTTAAAAAAAAGAAAAAAAGTGAGTTTTTCTGTCCATAAACAGCATATATATTTCCATTTATTTAGGTATTTTACCTAATTTGTTAACAGAAATCTATAATTGTATCTAAAAACATCCTGTACTATTATTAGAATTTTTCTTAGATATTAAGTAAATAATAAAATAGCAAACAAAATTTTGAATATTTTTATTGAAGTATAGTTGACATACAATGTTACATTTTTTTAATTGAAGTGTTATAGACAATTCCAGGTGTACAATATAGTGATTCACCAGTTCTGTATCAAGTATAGTTGCCATCTGTGACCATGTAACTTATTAATAATAATAACCTAGAAGTAATTTTTCTGTTTGTATCTAAGGTACTTTAATATTTAATGTTATATATTATTATTTTATAAGCATGCCTGAAAATGGAATTCTCTCTCTCTTTTTTTATCTTCAAAAGGGAGAAGCAGGACCTCCAGGTGCTCCAGGTCAGGATGGATCACAAGGAGAGCCTGTGAGTACCTTCTGAATTCAGTTCTAAAGACTGAAGTTCTTTTCCTGTCATAAAATCCTTTATTTAAATACTCCTGTCAGGTTCCCTGTCCTTTGTTCAGTGACTTCCAGACTTAGAGGTTATAGCAGCTCTTTGTGGAACATTGTAAAATATTGAAAAATTTAATCCTTTTTTACAAAACAAGAAGAATGTCAAGAGCAGAAAATTCACATGCAGTATAAATTACAATCATGAGTACTCGTGCCCACACAAACAAATAGCTAATACGAACAACATGGTCTGTTGCTGAGCCTTCAGTCAGTGTCGCTTTGCCACTGGTTCTTTGTTTTGTAGTATGCCCCCTGGGGTCATGTGTTCAATAAAAACTGGCATAAGGAAAAATGATTGAGAAAGTACTGGATCTGAATCCTGGATATATGTGTTTTCAGCAAGTGTGCCAGATGACTCAACTTCACTTACCATTTTCCCCAACTTTTATTCCTACAACTCATGGCCAACATTGGCCAACATTGAAATACCTGCTGGTCTCATTTTATTCATCAAAGTAACTTAAGGGGAATTTAAATTTAGGGGAATTTGCAGCTTATTTTGGGGATGACTAGGTTAAGAAATTTAAAAACAGCCAAGATATATTGCATTTTTTCACAGAGTGTTCAGGTGAGTACTCAGAATTCAAATATTGGGCAGAAGAGGGAGAGCAGAATCACCAAAGCTTTTTAAGTTGGGTGAATGGATTGACCTACTCTTAGAATCATTCAATCAAATATTTATTGAGTTCTCATCTTGTGTATTATAATGCACTGGGGCAAGTTCTTTACGTAGCTACTGCCTTCACAGAGCTTATAATCTAGTTTGGAAGACAGCAAAAAAAATGATGCAAATAATTACCAACCTGAGGCAGTTTATAGTAAGTGCCGAATAGGGAATTTAACGTGGAATGGGAAGGCCAGGGTTTAAAGATAATTTCTGTCACATTCCAGCTGTGCAAGCTTGGGTAAATCAGTTCACATCTCTGAAAACCTTTCTCCTTATCTGTGAAGTGTACATACTTACGATACCCACTTTGCTGTGTTGTTGTGAGGCTTTCATAGGAAACATATGGAAAAAAACTATGAAAACATTGCACAAATGCATAGAGTTCTCCTAAGCGCAGAAAGAATATAGGTGGGAATACAAACTGGTGCAGCCACTGTGGAAAATAGTATGGAAGCTACTCAAAAAATTAAAAAAATAGAACTACCCTATGATCCAGGAATTGCACTACTGGGTATATACCCAAAGAATATGAAGACACAAATTCAAATAGCTACATGCACCCAGATATTTACTGCAGCATTATTTACAATAGCCAAATTATGGAAGCAGCCCAAGTGTCCATCAACTGAAAATGGATAAAGAGGTGATTTTAGGGCGCCTGGGTGGCTCAGTTGGTTAAGCGACTGCCTTCGGCTCAGGTCATGATCCTGGAGTCCCGGGATCGAGTCCCGCATCGGGCTCCCTGCTCGGCAGGGAGTCTGCTTCTCCCTCTGACCCTCCCCCCTCTCATGCTCTCTCTCTCTATCTCATTCTCTCTCTCAAATAAATAAATAAAATCTTAAAAAAAAGGTGATTTTATATCTATCATCTATCTATATAGATATAGATATATGAATATTATTCAGCCATAAAAAAGAATGAAACCTTGCCATTTGCAACAACATGGATGAAGCTAGAGAGTATTATGCTAAGCAAAATAAGTCAGTCAGAGAAAGACGAATACTGTGATTTCACTCATGTGGAATTTAAGAAACAAAAGGGGAAAAAAGAAAAATAATCAGACTATTACAGACAACAACTTAATGATTGCTAGAGGGGAGAGTGGAGGGGGATGGGTTAAACAGGTGATGGGGATGAAGGAGTATACTTATGAGCACCAGGTGAGGTATGAAATTAATGAATCACTATATTGTACATCTGAAACTAATACAACACTGTGTTCACTAACTTGAATTAAAGAAAAAACTTAAAAAAGAATATAGAAAGGGAATCTTGTATCTTGAGGTGATCGAAAAGTTTTTACCAAGGATTTGGGGCTAGATTTGATCATAAAAGGATGACTGGGAAAGAAAGGAAGACCAGAGGGAGGAGCATGAGTGAAGACACACAGGTAGGATGGTTAAGTGTGTGCCTAAGAAATAATGAAATGATCTGAAAGTGGCCCTGAGGCTGCAGTGATAGGAAGTGAAGTTGAGAAGGTGGGATAGGTTCATCATATGGAAATCCTCAACTGTGAATTTGGGGAGTAAGTTCTATTCACTTGGCATGGCAGTGATGTGAGAAAAAAAGAGTTAACACGATGCAGAGTAGTGCTTTAGAGGCAGTTATGAGTTACATGTATATGCAGGTTGGACTGAAAGGAGAAGAGATTGGAATCAGGACACTAACAAGCTGGCTATTTTGACAGACCGGGCATGGGCAAATAAGGCCTCAACCAGGATGTGAATTGGACTGGAGTGTGAGCTCATATCTGACTCATAATTTTTATGATTAAGGAAGAATTCTAAGACTTGGTAACTGGATATGAGAACCGGGTATGTTTGTTTATGTTCTTATTGTGAGAGAATATAAGGTGTGTGTGCATGCAAACACATGGGCGTGCAGGTACGCAAACACAGGGGGCCCTAGGGGGAAGGAAGACAGCTGAGAGAACGAGAAAGTTGAAAAGAGAAGAGGGAAATAAGAAGCAGTTGAAATGAAAAACCAGGTTATAATTTGAGCTGGTTATGTTCTGAATCTTGGTGAGTCAGTTATTTGGAACTTGTGACTCATTTTCCCACAGAAACAATGTTAGAAAGGGCAGACTGACCAGCAAGTCTACAGGAACCATAATGTGACAGGAGCAGCATATATTTACTTGAAAAATAATACTATTGCAATCCTGTTAATGAAACCAAATGGAATAGGGAATTAGAAATGCTTAAGGGGCTGTTTTCCTCTCCCAAGGCTGCCTGTTTCTCCCTGCAGCCAGAAGCAGGTGCTGATTTGTGTTTTCTTCTGCCCTGCCTACCCCCACTTTACTCAAGACTGACCTCTGTCTAGAACTTTTGCACTAGCGTAAATTTCCATCTCAGGCCCTTCTGATTTCAACCTTTTCTTTCTTTCTTCCCTCCCAACATTCACCGCATTCACAGAATGTGTAAGGCATTGGGTTTAGTGAGAGGGAAATAGACTGCCCGTGGAGGCTTACACCCTCGCAGAGGAGAGAGACCATAAAAGGATAAAGAAACAAAAGCTAAATCACAGAGTTCTAAAAAAGGCAAGCAAGGTGCTGGGGCAGGGAATGGTAGTAGGATAGCGGAGGTATTTAGAATATAATCTCTTCTAAACCAGCCAGGTAGAAAACTGGGAGTTACCAAGAGAAACTCTTCAGACTCTTTCCTACTCCATCCCACCAGATTAGGGAAGGCAAGAACGGTCCTTTGCCCCTTCTCTCCCTCTGTCTCTCTTTGCTGCCAACCGCGGGAGAGGAAACCAGGTTTCCTATGCCAGAAGACATACTCTCTTAGGAAAGCAATTAATAGATTGAGCATCTAAAATTGGCCCACGTTATCTGGATAGAATTCTTCTGGTCTGTATTCTTTTACACTTAAGAACAGAATTATGAATTATTCTCTTCTTTAGGCCATTAATGAAAACTTGGTTGTTAGAAGTAACATCCTTTGAGGACTGATCTTTACCATTTTTGGAAACGCTTTGAAAACAGGAAAAAAAAATGGAAGTTTATGTATTTGATGACACAAAGAAATGAATACTCTTCCATTGTGTGTGGATGCTGCATATAAGTATAATGAATGATTTGGCCCCACTAAAAAGGACGTGTTCACTTTATTTGTTCTATAATGTGGCAGCCAAGAAAACTAATGGAGCTTAAGTTGGAAGGACAGAAGCTCTTAGAAAAATGCTTTAAAGCTAATTAAACACAGCTTATAGCAGCTGGATGATGACTCATCCCTGTAAGCTGATTGATAAATACGAACACTAACTGCTGGAATGCAAATTGAGGACAAAGGCTGTATTTCATTGGGAAAGGATTATATTGTCTAAAGTGCAATTACATTCTAATGGCTATACTTTGAATCTTAAAGCCTAGTATTGGTCAATCTTCGTAGTAATTTAGCCGCAAAGGTAATTTACTTTCTCAGTGGCAAACTATATATACCTAACTTCAATCCAGGTGACTTTAAACTCCATTCTACACTTGGTGGACTTATTATAGTTGGTTTCAACCATGTAATGCTGTGTTGAAGGATTATATAATCTTGTCACTCACTCAACAAACATTTACTGAGTGTCCGCCTTGTACCAGACATTATATTACTCAAGGAGAATGTGATTAATTTGTCACAGTTGTGCCCTCAAGCAGTCATGAGCCAGCAGATGACAGTGTAGTAGAAATGTTAGGGAGATAGGCACAGGGGATCTTGTGAAGTTGGAGAAGATGTGTATAACACTAAATGAGTTCGGGACCATCTGAGCCCGATTCATTCTTTTCTTTTCAATAATAGCATTATTGAGATATAGTACACATACTGTACGGTTCACTTGTTTAAAGTGTATAGGGATATGTTCCTAAACAAGGGACTCTCTTAGCCAAATTCTGGAAGATAAATAGGACTTGGCTAGTTGTTTAGCCTGGCAAGGCAGAAACCTGTAGTATGTTCCAAAATGTAGAAGTAAAAAAAAAAAAAAATCATGATACTTTAGAAAAAGCTGATTCTAGTTCAGGCTGCTTAGGAGATTTGGAAGGAAAGAATGGGATAGAAATACAAGATGAGGTTGTGGGTGTAGGTAGCAGCCCTGTCTGTGTTGTTTGAACTTAAATCTGAGAATAGTGGGATCTTTTCAAAGGTTTCAAGTAGGTGAGTGAGTTGATCAGATTCAGAAAGTTTGAGAAAGATCACTCTGACAGCAGAATAGAGAATGGATAAAGGTGAGCCAAGGTATAGAGGACCGAGCCTGGC